TGGATCACGTAAAAGCAAAACCTCCTATAGTTTCCATCATTTTTGGCAAGGAGGACTAGACCCAAAGTCTGGATTTATCCAGAAGTTTCGTCCTACAAGGCACTGAAGTGTCTTGGCTCAGCCATTCTCAAGCCCTGTGCACTCCAAAGGATGTTAATGCTCAAAAATGTTAAAGTTCTGTTGGAAATATACAGTTTGGGACCACTGGACTTTTACATTTTAGTGACAAATTGCTTTGTTTAGATGAATTTATAATTCATGGAATTATATTGAATTCTAGAATTAGAATACAGGGTATAATTAATAGAATAATGTTTAAAATGCATAGAATTATAATTGTTATGGCCCATTAAAATTTATAGTATTAATTTGAGAGCGCACATGAGAGTAGAAAAAACATAAAATCCATTATAGGTGACATTTGCACGATGGCAAATCCATATATATACATATTTATATATGAATGTGGGGGTGTTTACCTACATGCACACAGATAAGAGATGATATTAACCTCCAAATTAGCTGAACCACATAAAATAATCCAGCTGAGTGAAGCAAAAAAAACCAAAAAGACCAAACAAACCCATTTTGCTTCAACATGTGATAACTCATCCAAAAGCGGGTACACATGAGGCTTTGTTCTTTAAACAGAAAACATGGCAATTAATAAAATGACCATTCCCTAATTTCCCATCCCGAAATGTCATTCCCTAATTTCCCATCCCGAAATGTCATGCCCGCTGACTCAGTGTTCCTGCTCGTGTTGGGCTCACCTACAGCCCAGGAGGCTGAAACCACTTGGAAACCCAGCTGGGAATGTCATCACCGGGTGACTCACGGGGAGAAAATTCCCCTCCTCCCGGCGGCTCTGGGAAACGCATTCCTATAGGAATCCGGGACGCTCAGCGCTTCGGAAACCTGCTGCCGAGCTGGGGGCCTCTGACAGCAGCTCCTGTCCCCCGGGAGCATCTCCTGTCCCCCGGGAGCATCCCCCGTGTCCCCAGGCGGCGGCACCGCCGCCCTCCCGCGGGAGGGAAGGGTGATGTCAAACGGGCTTGGAAAAGCTGCAGGAAAATCTGCTCCAATCACACGGCACCCCTAAAAGTTGGATTTGTTCCTTCCCGTCATCAAATGCTCTTTGTCACTTCAGCAGGCAGCGGTATTTTTTTAACCCTTCAGCTTGAAGCGTTCCGTGACTCCCGGGTTTTTTTCTGCCGGTGTGGCAGAACTTCATAAAAGAATTAAAGGCTCTGTCCAAGAGCAAATAAATCTGTGTGGGTTGTTAGGATTTCTCTTGTGCCCAAGTGTTCATTAAGCAACGTTCTTTGCATTTAGTGCATTAATAATGCATTTTAAAATCAGGTAATGGACCTAATAGGGCAAGAACGCGTTTTAAAAGAGGTTCATAAACTTGTAATAAATTAGGAATGCATTTGAAAATAAGTTAATAAACATAATAGACCAAGAACATGTTTTAAACTAAGTTAATAAACTTATGATAGAAAAAGAGCACATTTTAAAATAAGTTAATAAATCTGTAATAAGTTAGGAACACATTTTAAAATGAGTTAATAAACTTATGATGGAAGAAGAACACATTATGAGTTAATAAATATAATAGCCCATGTTCTAAAATAAGTTAATAAACTTAATGATAGAACAAGAACACAGCTTAAAAAAGTTAATAAAGATAATAGACCAAGAAAATGTTTTAAAAAAAAGTTAATAAATTTATGATAGAACAAGAACACAATTTAAAACTTACAGTAGATTTTAAATAAGTTAATAGACAAACTTATTAATAGAAAAAATAGACCAAGTGGCTACATGGGCAAGTTCTGGTTAATTTGTCCAAAGCTGGGCAGTGCTGGAGACACAGAGAGTGATCCATGAATTCCTCCAAGCAATGCCCACAGCAGGATCAGGTGCAGCAAAGAAGCAAGGACAGAGGAATTAAGGATCTGAGCAACCCCATGGCAGCCATGATTTAAATCTCTTCCTTTTGGGGTCAAAGAGGAAGAATTTGAAAAGTCTGGTTCTAAATCAGTTAAAATTTCTGGTTTAACACGGGACTGCCAATTATTCGCTGCTTTTCTCCTTGTCCTTTAGCCCTGAGGGCACAAACCCACCCCAGGACTCCCCAGACACGCTTGGCTTTCCAAGGATTTGGGTGGTTTGTCTCAGCCTGGCGCTTCCTTCTAAAGCAATGCCACGGTTATTTCGGGATGCCCCTTAAAAAAGGACGGGGAACTCCTTTCTGCAGAGGGATACAAACCGTGGGCAGCAGTTTTGTGAACGTGCCGGGAGCTTGCCAGGAGCTTCTGGGATTTCTGGAGGAAAGACACAGACAGAGAGTTTGTCACCGGAGCTTTCCCGGAGCAGTTTTCTTGGTGGTGCCTCTAACGCGGCACCGTGAGACACTCACAGATCAAAGGAGCACATAAAACCAACTACACACTTAAAGCAGGCACAGAATATTTTCCAAAGCTGAGTCCAGCAGGGATGCCAAGAACATCCAGGGAAATAAAGCTGCACAGTGGAAGGGGCGGCAGAGCCTTTCCCAGACCTGCCGTGAGATCTCGCGGCTCCGAGAAAAACCCACACGGCACATCCCAACAACAACAACCCCACGGGACACCACACGGGGCACATGGAAGGAGCAGGCAACAGGTCAGCAACTCAGTGAGGTGACTGTGAAAACCATCTGGATTTGTTCATTTTGGGGCAGGTTTCCTGTTTAACGCCACGAGAATTTTTGACCGGTTGAGGAACGGCCCGGAAAGAGATGTTTCCTCCTCGGAGTGAGAAAGGAAAGGGGTGGGGAGGGTTTGGTGGGTGGAAGGGTTACCTGTAGGGTGGAGTAGACCATGCTGGTGGCTGCTTTTCCCAGCGCTGGGTGCCCAGCTCGGCGCTGCTGCGGGCGAGGGATGCAGAGGTGTGTGGCTGGAAGGTGCTTGGTGTCGGGGTTTTTATAGGGCTTCCCAAAGGCAATTTGCTTTTTGTTTTTTTGCCACTGAATTTCAAGCGTGATGACATCAGCCCCTGGGGACCCAGAGGGTGGGGGGAAGAGGTGAGAAGGGGTGGTTTGTCTCTGCTGAACAGAAGGGAACCCCCCTCCCACCGGGTGTCAGGAAAGAAAAAAAGCTTTAGGACAATAACTGATGAAGTTCAAGGAAACTCCTGTCTCCAAAATGCTGCAGGTGCCAAGGGGTGAAGCAACTGGCCCTAGGCTCCTCCTCCTGAGGAGGACTATAAAACTGGGACTTACCAGGAAATGAGAGGGACAAGAGCATCCTCCCATTGAGCAGAAGTGTCACCAGAGCAGGTAATCCCAGCAGCGAGGCATTGGTGGTTTGTTTGATGCTTTTCTTGAATCCATTCAGTGTTTGGTCCTTTGGCTGAGCCTTTCATAGCTCTCCTTCTTCTAAAGCTCCAGCTCTGCCACTGAACTGGGAGTGCAGGTGTGAACTCTGGAGCTTCCAGGGGGCACTGGGGGCCTTCGCTCCCAAAGGAATGGTTGGATTTTGGGGCTCTTTGCTTTGTCCAACAGTGAAACCTGGAGGTGTTTGACATGCTGCATATTATTTGGGGCAGAATAACAGCCTGCTGTCATACACCTCGTATTTAAAACTGCATTTTCTACTAACTACCATGCAGACCTTTACATGTAGCAATGTGTCTCCAGCAATTTGGTGCTGTTTGGCACCAGAGGAGGGTTTTTTAATGGATTCTTTAATCCAGCTGTGTGATGGTGTCGTGCACTGATCATCTTGCTGTTTGTTTATCCAAAGTGAATTGCTTTTCTGTTCTCTCTCCATGTTTATTTGGAGAGAGGCAGCGTTTCCTCGGAGCTGCACAAACATTTCTTATCACTAATAAGGTGGGATGGAAAACTAAGGGCAAAATGCCACTGGGTGTCTGAGAAGTTAATGGGCTGATAGTTGTTTATGTGTCCCACGGCACATGGAGCTTTGCTCCAGCCTCCAAAGGAGGGAATGTCCACGCACCAGAATATTCCCATTAATACTGGCCGGGTTGAAGCACCACCAGCAGCTGGATGTTGGTGCAAAGAGGATGCAAAGCCTGGTCTAACAGAGATGGAAAGGGGGTGCAGAGGGGGGTGAGCTGTTCTGGAGGGGGTGAAGGGTGGCTGTCTGTGAGGAAGGTGGTGAGTGAAGGAAGTGGCATCCAGAAGCTGCCCCACGTGGGCACAGCTCAGAGGTCACGAGCCTGGACAGGGGCAGGACCTCACATGCCACTTCTGCCACTCCCAGGGTGAAGAGTGTCAGGGGCAGGCAGGGGAAGGAGAGAAGGGGAAGGAGGAGGCTGTTTGAGTGAGGGGTGGCTTTGGCTGTGCCCTCACTGCAGGAGGGGTTTTGTGCCAGGGAATGATCACCCTGAGCTGACCCATCTCTTCGGTACAAGCAGCTCTCTGCCAGATCTCCAGGTGCCTCCTCACCATGGGAAGGTCTCCATCCTCATGGTTTGCTGCACTGTGGCTGTGCTGGCTGATGCCCTGTGTGTGCAGAGAGCTGCCAGCCCCACCTGGAGGGAGGGATTCCCGTTTGCTGCTCTGCCCCTTGTGTCCCCTCACCTTATCATGCCACATTCTCAGTTCTCTGCGGTGCAAGGGGACAAACAGGTCCTTACAAAGTGCCAGAGGCAGCAGCTGCACAGAAGGGACAGTGCCAGAGCCAGGAGGGGTGTTATCCTCGGGACAAGGTCATATTTGAGCAGGAAACCCCTCTGGGGGTTCCCAGGCAGACCCTCTTTCTCCAGCCTCGCTGCAGCCCACGACATTCCAGTGATGATGCTCCTGGGAGAACTGGAGGGCTTTAATTCTTTGGTGTGTCCTCATGTTGGATGAAATAGAGGCAGGGGCATTGCACAGCTGCTGGAATGGCCTTGGGACAGGGGCCAGAGGCTGTGTTGGCATTGGGGGGGTGGGTGTGCAGCTGTTTCCAACCCCAAAACCTTCTCCTCCCAAGGGAACCTCCTTCATCCTCCTCCTTTTCCATATCTTGGATTGAACCCTCTCACATCTTTTACAGCTCTGTAGCATGTTCTGGTATTTCTCTTCCCCCCTTCTCTGGTGTCCTAGGAAGGCTGGCGCTGGAAGCAGAGGGAAACATCCCTGTTGTGTCTCTACATCCTTCACAAATCCCAGATGTCTGTCACAGGCTCTAAATCCCTCAGCACAGCCAGTTACACAGAAATAACCAACAAAATGAGCCTTGGCAAACTGAAAACCACTTCTGGGAGCCAAGGAGTCACCTGGCCAGCCCATCTGCCTCCAAAAACCCACCTCATCCTCCTCCAGGGACCGACTCCACACAAGGGGCTTGTTGCACCGTGCCCAGAAAGGCACTGCCTGAGCTCCTTCAGAGCAAAACATCTGGAGGAACTTAAGATTGTGGCCCTTCTCCAAGACTAACCTTTGAAATCAGAACACTTATTTATATAGAAATGTCATTGAAAGTAATAATACTAACAAAAAAGTTCTGGACTCCGCAGACCCAGCTCTGCCTGAGAGCCCCTCGTTCCTCGGGGCCTCCTTCAAGTCAGTAGCACAGAGAGATGTTTGATGTTGAGAGAGAGTGTTCCCCCCTCCGAGCTGGGATTTGGTGCATCACTCTTTCTGAGCCAAAAATTCCAACCTTCAGCACAACCAAATAATTGAATAATTAATTGTCCCCCCGTGGGTTCACTTGAAAGTTTTTACTCCTTCCCACGTTCGATGGGAGTTTATGTTGCCAAGCCAGTTTGGAGTCAACTTATCCTTCATCCTGCTCTCTTTGGGAAAATTGCAACCTTTAGGATAAATGGAGAGAGGAAAACATGGGGTTTTTAGTAGAACAAGAGAGTCCCGAGAGCACTGATGTTTGCAAAATGTGTATTTGTGCCGAGGAAAACTGTGTTCCTGGGATTTAAGTTCATTATTATTCACATCACTATTTCTTTTTTGGGTGGTGCTCCTTCCCTCCTCCCCGTATCAATAGTGGTGCTTTCCTCCCTTTCCAAAAGGCTCTTTGGAATGGCTGAGAACAGAATACATCACTGTCTCCCTTTCCAGCTCTTTTAGGTCATCAAATGTTCTAAAAATACCCAAATAACAAGAACATCGCTGTTTTATTTTCATCTTTGTTTTCCAACAAAAAACCTCCAGAGAGAAAACTTCAGCTCCTGGTACCCAGGAGTGCAGAGGAACGGGAATGTGGGGGCTGCCTGCAAACAGGCGAGTTCATGGTAGAAATATGAAGGGTTTGAAAATAGACTATTTAGTCACTGGGGTTTCAAGAAAGGGATGGAGCTGGAAAATTCCATCTGGAAGGGAGGCTGTGTATCTGAGTGTCGTGCCTGTTTGTCTGTAACAGTGGATAAGAAACGTCCTGGAACGGCTCAAAAATACCTTGTGGCTTTCGCCTGAATGTTTGTCCGTCCACGTTGGGTTATTCATTCCTCCCCATCTCCAGCAGCCTGGACAAGAGGGGACAGGAACCATCCCCACCACCTGCAGCGCTTTGGGGCACCTAAACATGTTTTTGCCAGAACTCCTTGTAGCCTAAATGGCCTGTGTGTGTTTTTTCTGGATAGGACTCCGGAAAGCAGGCACCTAAAGTGGTGCTTTGAATCGAGCCTTTGTCTGGAGCGAGGAGCGGGGAGGCACCATGGAAACACCTGAGCCTGTCACCAGTTGCTCCCTCCTCGGGGCAGGGGCACGGTTCTGAAGGCTGGCCGGGAGCCCGAGCAGTGCCAGTCTAGACGCCGACGGGGTTGTGGGGGCGACGGCCGACGCTCTTGTTTTGTCTGGAAGGGCCATGGCGGGGTTCGCCGCCGTCTTCTACAGCGAGCCGGCCGTGCTGGGGCTCCTGGGCAACGTGGTCAGCGCCTTCCTGCTCTGCCTGCAGAACTTCGCCGTGGCTCAGAGCGGCCTCAGGCCGAGAGGGGCAGAGGACATCCTGGCAGGTGGGTGGTGCTGCTCGGGGGGACACCGTGGGGGCTGGTTGGAGCTGAACGCCCAAGCTGGCGGCACCAGGCAGGAGGGACTCTTGGAGAGCCATCCCCGTGGGATGATGGTCACTGTTACTGGGGATATATGGGCTGTCTGTGTGCCCCTGGGGGTGGCCTGCTCCTCCTTCCTCAGCCGCTGCCCAGAGTCTGGTCCAAACCTTCCTTGTGCCATTCCCTGCCACTTTCCTACCCCCAAACTGCTCCTGGGCCTGCTCCCCACACCGAGCGTGCCAAGGGGCTCAGCGCCCACACAGAAATCTGACCTAAAGGCAGGAAGAGAGGGGAAGGCAGAGGCCCCAGGGCTGCTCATGGGAAGGCTGTGGGGCCTGCTTCCTGCAGCTCAAGCCCTTTTGTGGTTTGCCTCACACCTGACCACTTCACATGTCCCTCAGGTGTCCACCTCGTCCTGATTGGAGGCTTCGTCCAGCTCCTGGCAGGATTCCTCGCCTTCCGCAAGTACGACCACCTTGGGGGCGCGGCCTTCCTCACCTTCTCCGCCCTGTGGAGCAGCTACGGGGCCACACGGATCGTGTCAGCTGCCTACCCCTCCCCACAGAACACCACCCTGCCCGTGGGGAACGGCAGCCACCTCCTGCCCCTCGGCGCGGCCCAGCTCTCCACCAGCCAGAGCGCGGTGGCCGGGCTGGTGGCCTACATCTCCATCTCCTTCGTCCTCTGCTTCTGCTCGGCCACCGTCAACTACGTCATGCCCTTCATATTCGGGGCCCTCGCCCTCGCCCTGGTGTTCGAGGCGGTCGCCCTGTTCTGCCAGTGGGCCCTGGTGGTGTCGGGGGCCATCGAGCTGGTCATTGTCACCTGCGGGTTGTACGGGGCGGTGGCTCTGCTCCTCAAGGGCATCACGCAGCGCTACGTCCTTCCAGGCTTTGGGCATCCCCTCTTCAATGTCCTGCTCTTGGGGTCAGCACAGAAAAGCTCCTCCAAGGCCATCGGGGAGGAAAAGAAAAAGAACACAAAGTATGCCGAGCCGATGGCCCTGGGCAACATCTGCGACACGGTGTCGCCCTTTATCTTCGCCTTTTACTTCTTTGGCTACGTGAAGACCTTCTGTGTCGGGGCGGTGTGGATCTCCATCATCTCCAGCTGCCAGCTGCTCTCCAGCTTCTACAGCTACCTCCGAGGTGACGCCTACCACACAACCAAGTTTGGTGTCCACAGCCTCTACTGGCTGGTGATGTCTTGGGAAGAGTTCATCCTCACCGCCTTCCTTGGGCTGCCCCGGGCTCAGGAGAGCAGGCTGGGAATGTTTGGAGGGTGGTTCTTCCTGGCCACCGCCTGCACGCTGTTCCTGATGTCCACCCACAAAGACACCCTGGAGACGCTGCAAAACGCCTCCTTCGTCATCCTCACCACGGCCTTCATCCATCAGATCCCGCTGCCCGGCGCTCAGCCCCTCCTGGGCACCGCCTGCAGCCTCTGCACGGCCCTGTCCCTGTACGCCACCTTCGCCAGCCTCATCAACTCCATCGGGGAGAAGGCCCTGATCCCGGTGGGCGCCCAGGCCGTGTCCAGCTCGGCTCTCCAAACCGCGCTGGTGGCCCTCAAAGCCCTCCTCACGAGCACCAAGGAGCTCCCCGGCGGCACCGGCGCCGCCGTGCCCGACGCCTTGTTCTACATCTGCAACGGCCTGGCCGCGGCCTCTGCCATCCAGGGCGGCCTGGGGGACCCCGGCAGGCAGCAGCTCTCCATCCCCTCCGTGCTCATCCCGGGGGCCGTGGGGCAGCTCTACGTGTGCAGGATCCAGGCCTGGGGAGGGAGGAGGTTTGGCTCCGTCCTCCCGTTCTGCTACGCTGCCTTCTGGGCGGCCTGGGCGTGGCTGCGCCTGGCAGGTAACGCGTGGGCCGGGCGCCCGGGTGGCTCGGTCGCTACAAAAGGGGATGCTTTTAGGGAATTCAGATTGCTTGATTCCACGTAGTTCCTTCTTTCTGACGGGAGAGTCAGTCCCGTCAGGTTCACCAAGTTTCCTCCTCGCAAAATTGTAATGCCCAAACGTCCCAGCTTGCACTTGCCACAGGCACTTGGTACACACAGCTGCAGGGGGCCAAGGAGTGTCTTCAACTCCAACAGAGGCCAAGATCTCCCTGCTAAAATATTGTGAGGCTGTCTCTGGGCTGTTATCTCACAATAATGCTTCAGGAGATGCTTTTTAGGCAGTGGAAGGCTCCAGGTTCCGGGTTTATCCTTCAGCAGCCTGGAGAAGTTCATCGCAGTTGGTGACAGCCATGAGAGAAGCTCTCAGAATGCTGAGCCCGGGCTCTGAGAGCTGTGGTTGGCTCCAGGTGGGCAGTGTGTCCATGCAGCCTCCGTGCCAGGCCCTATTAAAATGAGCACCTGTGGGGAGAGTTGAAGCTGTTCCTCCAGAGGTGTGGCAGGAGCTGCTGATGTGTTCAGCCAGACCCTGAGGATTATGAGCTGGAGGTAAAATCATCAGCTATTTTTGGATGGTCACCACCAGTTCTCCAGTTAATACCTCAAATACTTCACGTTGCAGAAGCAGCAGGAGGTTTTCTTTAGGAGGCCACCATCCTTTAGTCTGAGCTGGAGTAGTTCCAGCCACAGATCTGTCACCCTTCTGTCATTCTTCTGTCGTGCTCTTCATGGTTTGCTCATAACCAGATGTGCTGGTCCTATTTCAGGCCACCTGCTGAACATTGGCACAGGGAACACTGAGGGATTCACCGCTGGTTCTGTTGCCTTTTTGGTGCTCAATGCTTTTTTAATCGTTCTAGGTGAGTCTCAGCACCAACGGGATTGTTTATGGAGGGGTATTTGGGGTCAGGTCATTAGTGCTTCTGTGGTGGGAATGCACAGGTGAGGGAGGCTCAGCTCTTCCTGTCACTCCGATTAGGCAACAGCTGAGATGTTTTGCCCACAGCCAGTAACAGAAGCTGATCTGGGCTTAGAAAAAACAGTCCCAAGGGAACAGAAGAACATCTCAAAGAAAATAAAAGGTTCAAATAAGGTGAAAGTGTTTGATGGACTGGGCCACTGGCACAAATCCACAGTCACACTCCAGCCCAGCTGGTGTAAATCAGGATCTACTTGGCTGCCTGAGGAGTGTTTTCCATGTGAGCACAGTGTACTGGCAGATCAAGGGTTTGGCAGCGTGTCCCGTGAAACCTGAGGGCTGAACAAACCATGGCCATGCCTCTGCTCCTCCTCGACCAGAGAAACCAGATCATGGGCTGCTCAGTTGAATCAAACAAGATTCAGTTGATTTAGGAACCCTTCTGCTGTTCCATGTCCATTTTATGGGCCATGCTCTGATGTGGGGCCCTTTGTTTGTGTTTCTTTCCACAGCTTCCTCTTTTAACGTGGTGCTGCTCTGTGTGACCCTTGCAATGGAGCTCTTGAGCATCTGTTTTCTGCTCTTTACATTGGAGAGCCTCCCTTTGCCATTTGAAAGTGAGTTTTAGGGGAACTTGGTCATCAAACCTTCCCACAGAGTGCAGTGAGCGGGTCCTGGGTTGGGGAGAAGTGTGGAAAGCTCAGTGTGGAAAGAAGCAAGCAGAGAGGGTTCCTTTGAAGGCTGGTGTGTGCAGGCAACAGGGACTGAGCCTCTCAGCCCCAGGGCCCTGAGCTTCCAAACAAACCTTTAGGTGTGGCTGATCCTGCTGGATCAGCTCAGCCTCCAGAGGTTCTGTACAGTCCTACTTCCCAGCAGCTGAGGTGTGGGATGGGCTAAATGTGCCACTGGTGTCACTGGCTGCAGTTCTGGTGAAGCTTTGGCTTTGCTGCAGGTAGAAATTTTATTTTTAATTCCATAGGGTCCTTTAGCAGAAGCTTTTCTACCATTTTATCATCACGAAGTGGAATCACAGCAGCATAAAATCATTTAGGTTGGAAAAGCCTTCCAAGATCATTGAGTCCCACCATTCCCCCAGCACTTCCAAGGCCACCTGTTCCCCAGTGCCACATCCACACAGCTGTGAAATCCCTCCAGGGCTAGTGACTCCATCACCCTTCCTGCCTCTGATTCCATTTTTTTTTTCCAGTTGTGGTGTTGAGCATCTTCAGCATCCTCTGCTTCTACGGAGCAACAGCATCGCTGGCAAACTGCATGTTTGGGAAGGACCTCCTGATGATGGGACCTCCTCTGTTCACAGTAAGACATGTTTTGTGTGATGGTGTAGCTTCCCTGCTGGGAAGGGATATTCTGGGGTCTTCAGGTTTCCATGGAATTTCCCTTCCTCCGAATCCCTTAGTGCCACTCGAAATCCTGGTCACAGCATTTCTGTAGGAGCTGGAAACGAGCTCTCTTCCATTAGGAATAGCGGCCATGGAAACTTGGAGAAAGGGCAGGGGTGTTTACAAGACTCCTACCTTGCTCCAAAAGGAATGTCCTGTGGAATTAGCCACCTCCAATCCAAGAATTCCTGGCAGATTTAAGTTTTAAATGTCATAGCCTCGGGAGCAGGGCAGTTAAAAGTTCCCCAGACTGGACAGCAAGAGTTCCCCCCTGCATCTATGAACTTCAAACTTCTCCTACCACCTGCTGTGTCCGACCAAGGCAGTCCCCCCTCACTGGGGTGATGGATTTGAAGGCTCAGATTCCTGCTGCAGAGGAACATTTTCATAAAATCAGTGTTTCTAACCACAGGAGACTCATGAGAAATCACTTGAAACTTGATCTTCCTCTGGGTTTAGGGTTCTCTGAGTTTCCTCAGTCATTTTGGAGAGCAGCTGTTTCTCCAGGAAGCAGTCGCTGTGCTGGGTGGGGTTCATCTCCTCTGATTTTAGGAGTTGAACTCCACCCTGAGTTTGTCTCTTGGACTTTATTAACTGCAGTTGTCACCTACTTTGGGTGAAGCATCCCTAGAAGTGCTGCCTGTGCCCTTTGACTACCGAGGGAGCACAATCCACCTGCATTTGGGTGAATCCCACCCCCTGGTTCACATATTTCCTTCTTCCCACCGTAATGTCTTTGTTGCCTCCTGATTCTTCTCAGGCCGGGAGCTCCAAGAAGGACACCCAGGACCCCCCACCCTGTGTGTGCCCCCAGTCCCACTGCACGAGTGGCCTGAGGACCATCGCGGAGCTGCTGAACACGGGGGCCGTGTGTGGGGTCCCCACGGACACCGTGTATGCCCTGGCAGCCTCCTGCAAACACCCCCAAGCCATCGAGAAGGTCTACAGGATCAAGGTGTGAACACAGGGCTGGTTACCTGGATCTGTGTCCTATAGATCACAGACTCACAGGATATACTGAGCTGGAAGGGACCCACAAGGATCATGGAGTCCAACCCTCAGCCCTGCACAGGTCCATCCCCAGAGTCACCCCCTGTGCCCCAGAGCATCAGCCAAACCCTCCTGGAGCTCTGGCAGCCTTGGGGCTGTGCCCACTGCCCTGGGGAGCCTGGTCAGTGCCAACCACCCTCTGGGGGAAGAACCTTTCCCTGAGATCCAACCTGACCCTGCCCTGGCACAGCTCCAGCCATTCCTGGGTCCTGTCCCTGGTCGCCCCAGAGCAGAGCTCAGTCTCTGCCCCTCCTCTGCCCCTGCCCTGGAAATTGTACCTGCAATGAGATGAGTTCATGCAGAAGCAGAAAGGGGAGCCCCTGGTTTCAAGTTGTCCTAAGACTTAGAACTGACCATGGATAAAGCTCCTGAGCAGCCACACCAGAACATCATGGACCACGTTCTGCACTGAGCAACCTGGGGTACAGCCCCCTCTGCTCTGGGCACAGGGCACTGGGAATCAGGCAGATCCATCCTGCCCTCCTGGGGAGGGCAAAGCCCAGCTCCAAGCTGGCACAGCCCCGACACTCACCACAGACAGGTCCAAACCTGTGTTTGTCCTCTCTGTCTCCCGAAGTGCTGAATCAGAATCCCAGGGCTAAACTTCCCCAGACTTTTGGAGACATTCAGTGCTGGAACCGGCCACAAAGTTTGCACCTTCAACACAACTTTTGCAGCCTGGGCCTGTCTGTGCTCCATGAGGCAATTTCCTGGCTAGCCTGGAGGAATAAGCATAACAGACGATCTCAGCTGGCACCGAGCGCCAACAGCGGCAACAAAGGCCGTCTTTTCTGGGCTGCTCTGGTGCCAATGTTAACCTTCCCTGCAGATGAGATAATATAAACAGAATGTAAATACATGCCCAGCTCCTTAGTCATTTGGCCCCACTGGAGCTGATGTCAGTTGAGGACTGAAATGACACTGCTTTGTGAGCTTGTTTTACTTCCCCTCCATCTCACTGTTCGTTTTGCAGCAAATTTGCTTCAGAGGTGGTACTGGAGATGTTGGGTCCCTCTGTGCATTGTCCCATCATGAATTGGTAGGTTTGACCTTGATTTGCACCAGCATAAGCTTGGAAAAACTCAGGTCCCTGGTGTATAAGGTCTTAAAAATGCTGATATTGAGCAGAGCGTTGCTGTCCCTGCAATGGATATGTCTAAAGTGGGGGATTTGGATGCATCCTGCTGAGATCCCAAGGGCAGGCTGCTGTTCTCTCTCTTCTTCAACTTGCACATGCAGATCTGAGCTGTGGCATCAGTCACAGAGCCTGGTCCCCTCCTCTGCCCAACATTTTGTGCAGAGACAGCATCTTGCTTGCCCGGAGCTCCTGGTCCCTGGGCAGCCCACAGATCAGGATCCCAGAGGGCTTCGAGGTTGTCAAGGCAAACTTTGTCTCTTCATCTACTTTTCCCCTTCCTCTCTCCCTGTTTTTTTTTTTCAGGACAGGCCTCAGGAGAAGCCCATCTGCATCTTCATTTCAAACCTGGACCAGCTGCGAGCAGCTGCTCCCCCCATCAGCCCCTTGCTCTGGGAATTCATGGAAAATGTTTACCCTGGTGGCGTCGGCTGCATTATCCAGAAAGGAGAGTGGCTGAAGAAGTTGGGTGAGATGGACAGGACAGTCCTTTTCTCCCTCTTTCATGTTTTCAACACAGCAGGTCTGCAATCCACACACCCTTTTGGACGTGATGGGGGGGGATTCTGTTCATTTTGTCCTGAGGAATCGCCTCTGGAGCTCTCAGATGCTTTGGTAGATGTTTAGCAGAGGGTGTTAATCAGCTGGAATGACTCATTAACAGTGACAGCCAGCATGATGAGTTCTTCAACTAGGAGCAAGGGAGGCTCCTCAGCCTGGGAGGGTCACCTCCTCCAAGCCCCTCGCTGTTAGGAATGATCAAACCCTGGATGGAGCATCAATGAGCTGAGAGGGCTCCTCCCTGCTCATTGCCTCTTCCTTCCCACCACATGGACAAAGGCAAGCACTGTGGGCAGTGGGATGATTCACCTCAGCCCTGGCTTCTGGGAATCAATGGAAATAGTGTGGGATGAGGAAGTTGTAGGAATTATGCGTGTTAAGGGGCAGGGGTACATGGCAGAGGGTGGGCAGTGCTCACAAGAACTAAGCTTGTGACATAGGTAGATCCCATGTCCATAAAAACAGCTGTGCCGTCTCCAGGCGTGAATCATTTCCTTTTCATCCAGTCAGACCCCAAACCTTACTGTCCCAAATCCAATTTTACTGTCCCTAACTCTAGTTAGACCCAAAATCTTACCACTGTCACAGATTTGTGCTCCAGAGTGAAGCACACATCAAGAGACTCACAGCTCAGGGTGTGGAGGGAGCAGGGCCACTCGCCAAGGAAGCAGGAGGACTTGCCCTGATGCCACAGCAGCTGTTGTGCCAGCCTTGCCTCTGTCTGTCTTTCAAGGGGTCGGAGCAGGCTACAGCAGGGTGGGAACTCAAGACAGCATCATGATCAGAGTCCCTGACCTGACAGTCCTGGTGCACCTCATCGACATGACGGGGCCCTTGGCCATCACGTCGGCGAACCCCAGCGGGGAGGTGGACAGCACACACCACGACATGGTCATCTCGTGAGTACCCCGGGCACTGGCACCCCTGCCACGTGGTGCCCAGCGAGTTGGTGTGGTGATGGACACCCTGCATGGAGGGGAAGCTCAGCACAGGGTGATGTGAAGTTCTGTGAAGCGTTGTTGCTTTTTTTTTCTCCCTGCAGGCGTCTCGGCCATAAGCTGGAGGGTGTTCTCTGTGATGGAGAATCTGATGAGGTGGTGGCATCCACTGTGGTCAACTGCACAAAGATTGATGAAAGTGAGTGTAAGAACCACCCTTTTGTGCCAGCAATTGCATTCTCCTGGGGTGTTTCCATCCCTTTCATGAGTATCGATCTGGCAGCACAGTGTGCTCCAAGAGTAACAGCTCTTGAGCGCCTGGACATTTGCAAACATGTTGATGAAGAGAAGCAAACAAAAGATGTCCTTGGAGGACCTCTGTGTTGACAGAGAACAAGGCAGTGAAGAGAAACACAGTTGTGCAAGCGAGATCTGCCTTGTAAGAGCACGAGTGATCCAAAGTGAGAGGGTGGATGTCTCTGGAAGGAAGGGTGGGTGTTGCTGGTAGACCACGGGAACGAAGGTGTTCCGGGAGCTCGTCCACAATGACGCAGCAGCACGAGCTGAGGTGTCGTCAGCTGGGTCTGGGTTGACATTTGGGAGGGGCTGAGTGGAAAAGCAAACCCTTGAACAAAGAGTGGGCTCACTGCTGGTCGGTGGTTTCACTTTCTGACAAAGTTTCTGGTCCTTTTACGCAACTTTGTTATTTGGGTGCTCTGGGCGTTTGGGCGGCTTTGCTGCTCCAAGATAGTCCTTTATCCCCCCATCCCTTTCTTTCACCCTTTGGGGATTATCCTGACTTGTACATCCTTCCTGTGGGAAGGTGGCATCACCATCGTGCGGGAAGGCTGCATCCCAGCAGGAAAAGTGATGCAGATCTTTGAGAGAGTGAAGAACAGAGTGCTCTGAACCAAAGGAACCTTCCCCTGAGCCAAGGAACAGCATCTGTCCCATGCCTTGCTGGAGCACACGGCCTTGGGAGAGCCATTCCTTCTCCTACCAAGCTCTTACCTCCTTGGGAACAGCAGCACTTCCCCACCTGCTGCCTCTCCTGGGAGCTTTCTGCGGTGATTTCTTGTTTATCCTCAGTAAGTGCCTGGAACCGCTGGGACACCTGCCCATGGAATGCCAGCAGGAGCAGGAGTGATGCTTTACTGCAGGAATTCCCAGTGTTTCCAAAGTGCAGTGGACTGTGAAGGCCCTGGCTACTTGTGTATCCCCTTCCACAACACTCAGATCTGTGTATTTTAGAGTCCTAAGAATCCACTAAATAAATCCTCTTTTTGGAACGTAAGGAAAGGGCTTTGAGTTTCGTTTGATCTCCACTGAGCTATTCACCCTCCAGAAATGGCAGAGCTCCATGACCAAGCACTGGAGGAAGAAATAAATATTGGAAGGTGTAACTCTGACAGAGGGTTTACAGCAGGTCACTCACCCCTTTCCTTCTCTGGCATCTTCACAGCTGTTCCCTGCTTGGCCCAGGTGAGTCTGATCTTGGGACACTCAGCTCCTTCCAACATGCAAAGGAACATCCATGGCCATGGCCGAGCTGGGAGCTGCAGAGGGTTCAGAGAATCGTGGAATGGCTTGGGTTGGAAGGGATCTTAAAGATCATCCAGTTCCATCCCTTGCCAAGGGCAGGGACACTTTGCCCAGGGGTTGAGTGCTGCTGCCCCAGGAGGGGGGGCTGGCCCAGGACATGCTGTCCCCACGCAGGTCCCCAGGCATGTGGACCTGTGTTATGGGCTGTGGAGGGGCAGCAGTTTTCTGCCAAGAGCAGAGAATAGAACTTTCCTCTCCCCCAAAGCAAACAAGGTCCATGGGGAGTGAGGGATGAGGGAACTTCACTCAATAAAGACAAACCTCAACAAAGAAAACAATGAGTTATGGCCCAAAGGCTTCAAAACACTGGGAGGTGCGTGACAGATTTGAGGTTTTCTGTAATGTTTTTCCCTGTACTGGAGGCAGTGTCCAAGTGGAAGGTCTCTGCCAGTTCCCTACCGTTGTTCCTTCTCCTCCCTCCTGCTCTGGGCAGGGAGATTGTTCCCTTGGCACAGCCATAGTCCCACCTCACCAGACAAACCCCTTCCCTTCTCTCCCTCTTTTGCATTGTTTTGGAGCATCTTGCTCACAGAGCACTCCCTCAAGCCACATCCCCCCTGCTCTCCCAGCACTGCTGTGGGGCCTGAGCAGCCAAACTGGGAGCCTCGGGGTTGGATTCCTCCCACGCTTCACCGCTGACATGTAAACACCAACTGCAGTCCTGACCGTGCTCTGCTTGCTTTGGCTCTGCCCTTGTTGTCCATCTGATCCTCCTGTTTGGTTTGCACTCCTGAGCCACCAGAAATAGCAGCTCTTACTCTGCCTCCAGGTGACGGGTGTTGTTTCCTTCAAGCAGCTCCCCAGACTCCCGATTAAAAAGCCCTGGCAGGTTGAACACGGGCTCCCCTTCCCCCTGCAGCCTCCTGACCCTGCAAACCCACCTCTCCCTCTACTCAGGGCTCCGGGCAGGAGCTGTTCTCTCCCCTGGGGCACAGCTGGGCATTCCCAGCCTCCTGTGGTTTCCCGGCCCGTGCCAGCATCTGGAAGTGGAATTTAGTCAGGCCCTCCTCCCTGCACATACCTTAGGACAGCTAAACAACCTGGGCTAGTGGAAGGTGTCCCTGCCCATGGCAGGGGTTGGAAGGAGAAGAGCTTTAAGGTCCCTTCCAACCCAAACCAGTCTGTGATCCCATGATCCTCAATAAATGGATCCAAGTGCCAGCTGAGCTCCACCACCCTCCAGCAGAGGCTTAACTTTAAGCCTGTGGTGACGCCCCACAACATGGGACTTCTCTCATGTTTTAATACTTTAATACTTGAAAAACTACTTGACCTTTCCAGGCAGGTGAGGTTTGTTAATATTGGCTATCAACTGCTGGAACAGCAAAAAAAAACCCCAGCAAAACAAAAAAGTCCTTTCTTGACTCATTCCCTTTGTGATATGGGTCTGTGTTAGATCATCTCTGTGCCAGTGGCAAGGGATGTTTCAGCTCAAGGGAAGGAAGATCACCCAGTTCTCACCCCCTGCCATGGGCAGGGACACCTTACACTTAGACCCAGTTCCTTGTGTCTTGCACACACAGTTGGGCACTTCTGACCAACTCCACTGGAGGTTGTGGAACAAAGATTTGCTTGTCAAGAGGAGCATCGTGGTAAAATCTCAGCCAAACGGCAAAAAAATCAATGTTATTGTGAAATACTGTCATTTGCAGCATTTAAACAAAAAGGCTTTCTCGTGATAGCAATGTCATGGAGATGCCCCATCCCTGGAAGTGTCCAAGGCCAGGTTGGACAGGGCATGGAGCAACCTGGGCTAGTGGAAGGTGTCCCTGCCCATGGCAGGGGGTGGAAAGAGATGGGCTTCGAGGTCCCTTCAACCCAAATTGTTACGGGATTCTTTCATCAGGTTGTCAATTCTGCCACTTTGGCCAAATCTATGATGGGGTTGATGACTGGGCTCTGAACAGTTCCCATGATAGATCAACCCAGAAAATGGCTTAGATACCAACCCCATGCACTCAGCACAGGAAGGTTGGGAGCTGGAGCAACCTCTCCATGGTCGCATTCCCACAATTCTTCCCAGGGACCCAAACAGGTCTCGACAAGCTCTGCCAGAGTTTCTGCAGGGTTAGAGGGAAACAAACACACCTTAGATCAACACCAGGAGCCTTCAATTCCTTTATTGAATCTCTCCAAACACAGGGGCCTTTCATCAGGGTCATTGCTAATGTTTGACACCTCTCGCTGTGTTTTCCGTTACGTTACCTGTTGGTGGAGGCTCATTTCCAAGTGGGAAGCAGCAATGAGCAACCAGAGGCAGGGGTAAAGGATGTAAACCTTACCCTATGTGTCCCTAAATCTCTCCCATGGATGGTTTTATCAAATTTTCCCCCTTCTCATCCTTGTGTTTTCTCCAAAGGGAACTGAGCTCCAGCGAAATCGTTTTCAGGGCTGGGGCAGAGATGAGCACCCACCTGTGTGTGCAGTCAGATGGGAGAGGGCAAGAAGTGCAGAAACAGGGATGGGAGAGGAGGTTTTAGGCAATGGGATGTTATTTTATAAAATGTTTTAGTAACAGTCCTTATTTTATTAAAAGAAACAAGGGTGCAAAATGTTGTTGAGGAACTGAATGCTTGCTCACATCGTCAAGGCACTGATGCCAGTGGTGGGGAAGGACATTCCATCTCTGGTCCTGCAGAGATGCTGGAGCCTGTGAAAGGAATATTGAGGCAGGACCACCCAGCCTTCCATGGACTGGTCCACTCTGTGACCCCTGGAAGGTCACAGCACACGTTCAGCCACCACCAGGCCTCCAATGCCTCTGAGGTGGCTCCTTTCTCAGGAAAGCAAGATTTGGTCGGTTTAACTTCCCAGAGAACTGAATTTCCGTCCCTGTCTCAGCACAGAAAACCAACTTGTCCTCTTGCCTGGACTCTCAGCTGGCAGCTTTCACCAGTCGTGGTTTGGTCTAAAAATAAGAACCAGTCACTGCCACGCCAGGACAGCAGGTCCCAGGAGCTGGTGACTCCCTTCCCGGAGCTGCCCCACGGCAGGGTTGTGCTGTCTGGTTTCAGTTCTGCTCTGCCCATACCTGTCTCCTTCCTTCTTCTTGGTTTGTTTTTTTTTTATTTTTTTTTTTCATGGATTGATCAAATAATTTTATTTGCCAGATAATTTTAGGAGTCAGGAGAAGGATCTTCCCGGAGGCAGAGGGATCATCACTCCGTGTATCCAGCTGCCCGTCTTCAGCGGTCACAGAATCCCAGAACGGTTTGGGTTGGAGGGACCTTAAAGTCCATCCAGTTCCACACCCTGCCACGGGCAGAGACACCTTCCACTGGCCCAGGTTGCTCAGTTATGGACCCCCCAAAGCTGTTTTGTTCCATGTTAGAAGATCAGCTATGAAGAGACATGGACAAGGCCTTCACCTTCCCATCTTGTTGTGTCTTTGGAGAGCTAGAGATGGAAACGAGGTAGAGAACATAACATCAAATATGTCTGTGGAAACCCCATCCCAGCTGTTTCAGTGTCCAAGGAGCCTGTTTCCTGTGTCCCAGCAGTTATGGAATCATGGACTCACAGAGGCTGGAAAAGACATTGAAGATCTTCAAGTCCAACTGTCGTTGCTGACTTCTGGACTTGATTTCTTCTTCACTCCCAAAACAACACCAAGCTTCCATGTCTTCTCCTTCCTTATCTTTATTTCTCCACCTATTTGGCCATTTCTACTTCCCACAAGAGACTTGAATTTCCAAGTAGGACTTGGTTTGTTTTGCAAGTGAAGGTGGAAGGCTCTGGAGCAATTGTAGGGGTGGGAAGGAGTAGGATAAGGATCTGTGGTACCCCTTGGGTCATGTAGGATCTGATAACCCAGTGTGGGACAAGAGGGTCCTTGGGAAGGCTGCAGGGGATGGGATACCAAAGGGGAATTTTGAGGAGATAAGATGAGAGTGACTCTACTCAGGGGTAGAGTTGATGCTGCTGGTCCTCACCCACCCTCCAGGTTCTGAGGAATAGTGTCCTGAAAGGAAACCTGGGCACATCCTGCTCCTTTAGGGACTTGTCCCTGACTACACGAGGTCCTGGTGGAACCCACAGCAGTGAGAATAATCAGAGCATGCACATGAATTCAGCAGCTCACAGAGCAATAGTTTGGTGTAAACCAGCAGTGGCACAGGGGAGGTCAAAGGAGGAAGGATGTTGTAGGACCTCCAGGAATCGGTGCTGTGTCACAGAAGGGGTTTAGAGCTGGGTATTTACTGGAGCTCAGCAATGAACCCCACAGGAAAGGCCCACATTCCTCCTGCTGGGTGGGCAACGTGAAAAATAGGGTGTGGGAAAATAGGTGGGGAAGCTCTGATGATGAGGTAACCAAGGGAAGCCTGTTGAGGTCTCTAAATTCGGGATGTGACCCTACAAACCGTACTCCCCTGAGAACTGCACAGAGCTGCCTTGGGAGGCAGAGTTTTCTTCTGCAGTAAGACATGGAGAACAGGAGGTTCCTCAAAGGTGCCTGGGCATGGCCAGTCCTGGAGGGACTGCAGTGGCTGTTCCACAGCTGCTGAGAGAGATAAACCTACCTCAGGACAACCCTGACATCTCCCTCCTGGCCAGAGCAGAAGAAGTTGTTGAAATCCCTGGTTTTTGCTATCTAGAAAGAGGTAACAACACAAGTAAGATCTTTGTGTTTTCCAGGAGGGAATGAA